TCTCTGTCTCTCCCTCTCTCTGTGTGTCTCTGTATCTCCCCCTCTCTCTGTCTCTGTCTCTCCCTCTCTCTCTGTGTCTCCCCCTCTCTGTCTCTCCCTGTCTGTGTCTCTGTGTCTCCCCCTCTCTCTGTCTCTGTCTCTCTCCCTCTCCCTCTGTGTCTCCCCCCTCTCTCTGTCTCTGTCTCTCTGTCTCCCCCCTCTCTGTGTCTCTGTATCCCCCTCTGTCTCTGTCTCTCCCTCTCCTCCCCTTCTTCATCCTCCTGGGCTGTGCACCGCCATCTAAAGCTTTGAAAGCTCAGTTTCTAGCAGTGGACTGGCTCTCTGGCACAGCTTCTCTTCAGAAGTTCCTGAGCATGTTTCACAGGCCCATGTCCTGAGTGTCCTTACGTCACCTCCACAAGAGTGTCTGGGGCCCTTTCTCCTTTTTAATAGGACTTTATCAACCCATCAGAGAAGCGGGAGAGCGGGAAACAGCATCGTTAGGACCATTTTACAGATGGGAAGCATGAGGTGTGGCGATGAGGTGAGGAGAGGTCACAGAGCAGGGCTCTGGTTCTTGGAAGGAGGTTATCTTTTTAATGTCCTCACGCCCAAGTACGGCAGCAGCGAGTGCTACAGGAGGGAGCGAAGCGTGCGGCACCGCAGCGTAGCCCCATGCAGTGGGCTGGACCACACGGATGCTGATGCTGAGCTTTGAAGACACCTATACCCAAAGCAAAGAGAGGAGGTGCGACTCTCAGAGCTGGGTTTACTGTGGGCCGCAGCGGGGTCAGAATGCCACCTGCCTTGCAGTATTTTGGTATGGGGACTGACTTTAAGTCATACAGTTTGCTTTAAAAAAAAAAAGACATGACTTCATGGAAAGGAATTTAACAGGAGCCTGGTTTAAATGAGGCATGAAGGAGGCTCCCTTCCTTTCTGAAGGTGCCACATGCAAATAGATTAAAATCTTCTTACTCTGGTAACAGTCAGTAATCTGGAAACTTTTAATAGTCTACAAATTTGAGGTCTGGGTACAATGTATTTGTGTCCTCTAATAACGTGTTAAGGGACAGGACGGCTCTAGCGGTGGCTTTCAAAGCACCACGCTCCAGCATCTTGTGCCAAAATATTTCATTAAAAAGAAACTTTTGCTGATAATTAATCGTTCTGGGGACTTTTCCTTCTTGCCTAGTTCCTGGCTGATGTCCTTGTGTCAAGCTTATTGCACAGCTCAGTTCGACCTAAGCTTGGAGACAGACCTTTAGCGGCTGGTCTGTCTGAATCAAGTGACCACTGCCCCTGCCTCTGAGCCGGCACGGTGTCTGTTGCCTTAGCCGGCCGCCAGCTGCGGCACCGTCACAGCTCCAGATCTGTGCTTTCCATGTGTTTTGTAGAATGGAAGTAGCATGGCATTTGGTACCTCTTCCATGGGGTACACGGTCCCAATCTTCTTTTGAGAAGATACTGTTGTTGTAGTAGAAAACACATTTAAATTTTTTTTTGTGTGTGTGTGTCTGTGTTTCTGCCCTGCAGCAGGGAATGACCGCTGACCTCTGATCGTCCTGCCCCCTGCCTCCCAGTGTTGGGGTTAGTAGGCACACAGCGTCTGGCTTACACGGTGCTGGGAACTGAGCCCAGAGCTTCCTGCATTTGAGCCAAGCCTTTTCCCCCCCAAGACACCTCCCGAGCCTGGAAAACACAGATGGTCTTAGAGGTTGCTCCTACATACGCTTAGACAGAATACTTACTATCTTTGAGATGGCTGCCTTTAAGACCCTGCGAGCACACATAGCTATTTGGGAAACTGTGCTGGAGGCGTGAAAGAACAGACTGATATCTCTTCTCATCAATGGGAAATAAGGTCCATAAAATGATCTACTTCCCAAATAATATAAAAGATGACACGGATAATTGTCGTGAACAAATGGGTAGATCTTGGTTGTGAGAAATAAATTAAGGGGTTTTCAACGTAGTTATCACTACATTTAGCTGCCAGTACGGCATCTGTCATTATCTGTCAGGATGTCTGGAAACATGCCATAGCACAGTGGCCCGCAGGGATCTGATCACAAACCCAAGGGCAGGCATGGAAACATAAGAGCACTATGCCTTATCATCTTTCGTTATTGTAACAAAGAAAAAAATGGGCAAAATGTTTAACAGAGATAGCTTGTACTTCAGTCAAAACATAGCTGTTCTGCTAGAAGGAAAGAAAAGCCTCTCTCTAGGGAGTGTCCAAGGAGGGAAATGAAGTTTCTCAGGGCTGTCAAGGAATGGAGGAACAGCAGGGGTGGAAATTTCTAATGTGAGGCTCGCAGATGCACTGAGAAAAGTTCTGTGGTCCACGGAGGAGACAGGGTTAGGGTGTTAGTTACCATGACTCACAGAACTCCCTTCCAAGCCCCGTGACTCAGGAGAAAGCTATTCCTTCATCATGTGGAATAGACCCAATCTGGGCGAAGCTCACAGCCAGCGACGCTCTGGCTTCTCCACCTCCCGGGGTTCCCTCGCTGAGGAACATGGAGAAGCAACATCTGTCCACCCCAACTTTCCAGTAGCCGCCTTGCTCATGAGCTAGGACTTACACTCACCCACCGTGGTCCCTGGCCTCTAAAAAGGTACTGGTCTCTAGCTTGAAGTATAATCGATACATCTTACGCAGTCTCCCTAAAATTGGGTATTAGGGTTTGATGGTAAACTAGAATTTCTTTCGAGGAGCTAGCCTGGTCCTGGGGAGCACTCGGGAAAAGTTTTGTCCAGCACACATGCAAAAACAATGCGTTAAAGAAACAAACCTCCTTTGGCTTTGATGATTTCAACTCCCTTGAAAAGCCTCACTTGTAATGTGATGAGCCGTTAGGCATCGGGAATGTGAGTGTCTCTAGTTTTACAATCTTAGCCGAGTGTGGGCATCCAACTACATTTTACATTTCACCTACAAACAGACCTAGAACAGACTCGGTAGCTGCCAGGTGGTTTCCAACCGGCAGTTCTGTAAGGTGCAACAAAGACAGAGTTAAAGCAGCTGCAGGGACAGCTCGCTGCTGCTATTTTTATGCTGTCACCGTAGACTCAAGCATGGCTCATTTACTCTCTCTCAAAAGAGAAAATAGGTATTAGGCAACTGTAAAGAAAAAGTTGGCTCTGTTCCAAGACAGAAATTCTTAGCCAAATAAATACAGTATGCGAGTGTGCTCTTTTTCTAAATAAAAAATCCAGTTCATCTGTATTTATATTTGGATGTTGGGTAATTGAATTTCACACAAGTCTCAAAACGAGCGAAAAGTCCGAAGAGTTTTCGGAATGGCGCCAGCAGAGCCCTGTTGGGACCGTGCGGCCCTATCGCAGCCGCTCGCTGCGGGGGACTCGGAACAGCCTCTCCTTCTGCGGCCAAGATCCAGACATGTCTAAAGTAATTTCATTTAAAGATTTTCTGCCGAGCTAATGAGAATAGACCTAAAGCAGGCGCGGAACAGTCGCCTTTTTGTGCCCCTCCGGGAGTTTACAAGAAGCCCCGGGAAGCCGCCTGTAAATATCAGGCAGATATTGCCGCTTCCATTCCGAGGCCAGCGAGTCCCTGACGCCTTCCCCGGAGCCGCACGCTCGGTCTTAAACCTTACGGCTCTCCCATCCCGGGTGGAGCCCGTGCTCAGAGGGCAGCCGGGGGCAGGTCGTGCACACGGTGAACTGCCGAGCCCACAGTCCCGAGACTCAAGCGTGCCCACGAGTCCCCCAAGGGGCGCGATGTCTGCTGCCCTCCTCAGCCGCAGGCTTCTCGCAGCCGCACCCTCAAAACAAACGGCACAAAGCCCCCCTCCGAGGATGCCCGCGCGAGCTCTCCGCCCGCGGTGAGTACCTCAGCTCGGGGCTAAAGGGCTGTTAGCAGTAACTCCAGGAAAAAGAACGTTTCCAGCCCGCAGGGCGAGCACGGCCGCCTTCCCGAACCGCGTTGATACCGGACCTGGAAGTTGGCCACCAAAAAGTTGTTCCTACTAAATTACATAATGCGCCTCGTTATGTAACACGGTCCCGCTCAAAGTCTTAAAACTATCTCATTCATAGTGCAACTAGTCGCAGGGTTTTCGCTTCTCACACACAAACCGCCTCCACTTTCAGACACTTCCCCGCGCGCGCGCTCGCGCTCCCGCAGAGCACGGGACGGTTCCTGACTCCCCGGGCTTCCCGCGGGGTGGCGAGCCCCCGTGGGTGGGTCAGGGCACAGCAGGGCGGCCTGGAGCCCGGGCCCCGGGGGTCCCCAGGTCCCCCCGGCGGCCGGTACCCGGGGCCGGCGAGCGCGCCTGACTCCGGCCGGCATCCCCAGCCCGCCGCCCCGGCCGGGTACTCACTGCCTGCGGCCGAGCCCCTCCAGCGAGCGCCCGCGGGAGGGCACGGCGCAGCCGAGCAGGAACAGCAGCACGCTCCAGCGCTGGAGCAGCCTCCGTAGCATCGTGCCGCCGCCGCCGGGACCTGCAAGAGCGGAACGGGCGTCAGCTGCATCTCCCCGCTCCGCCCGCGCCCTCCCGGACGGCCGCTCCGCCGCCGAGGGCGTCGCGCAGGCCCCGAGGAGAGCAGCCCGGCGCAGGGGAGGGGGCCGAAGGTCCCCGGAGCGCGGCACTTACTCGCGAGGGCGCCTCCGAGCGTGCCTCTCCCGGCCCGCGCGGCGAGGAGGACCGGGCGGGGAGGCGGCCGGAGAGCGGCCTGGGGACGGAGGGCAGAGCCGGGCGCTTCACGCGGCCGTCGGGGGTGCGTGGCGCGCCGCCGGGGCTCCCATAGCAGTGCTCGGCCGGCCTGGCGCGGGGTCCGCGGCGGGAGGCCTCAGGCGCGCGCGTCCCGCGGGAGGAGGCGCTGCGCCCCGGGCTGCTGGGTGCGCGGCCGGCGGCCGGGCGCGCCTATATACATAGCGCCGCTCTCCTCCTCCGGTGGGCCGGCTGCTTCCGGAAAGCTGATGCCGCGCGCCTGCAGGCGGCCGCGGGCGCGCGTGTCGTGGACGCGAGGGCCAGGTGGCCGCGAGGGCGGGCCCGGCGCGGGGCGGGGCGGGCGCGGGCCGGGGCGGCGCAGGTTGGAGGGGAGCCGTGAGCCCGGCCGCCGGGGTTCACACGCTCGGGGCCAACCTGCTGCCGAGCGAGCGAGCGGCAAAGAGGTGGCGCCCGAGTCGCGCGCGGAGCCGCCGGCCCGGGGCGGGAGCGCAGGGGAGTCCGGGGCCGCGCAGCCCCACCCCGCCGCCGGCTCCCTCCCTTCCCCGCCGGCCTGCCGCCGCCCCGGGCGCGGGTCCCCACGGGCGGGCGGCGGCAGGGAGGGACCCGGGGCGCAGGCTCGCCTGCAGGCTCGCGCGGCGCCAGGCCAGCGCCCCTGCCCGCCTGGCCTCCTCCGGGAGGGACCGTCCAGCACCCAGGAGAGCACAGGCGGGTTCTGGCCTTACTGTTTCGGAAGGTCCGGGATGTCGCGGCTGGAGCGGGCCGAGGAAGGGTGAAGACACACTTCGCTCTCGCGGAGGACCGTCTTCCCCACCCCTCCTCTGATAACCGGCTCTCTGGCCAGCTCTAGAGTCACCCTGACCCCGTCCCAGCTGCTCCGGTCTCAGTGGGCCGGGGAGAAAGTTGTGAGTGACCGGGTCTCATTACACAGGAGAGGGCGAGGGGTGGCCCTGGACCCCCAGGGCCTGGATCCCGCTGCAGTGAAAGGCGGAGCCCTGGGAGATGTTTGCCTCCTGGACAGTCCTGCTGGAAGGCTTCATCTGTCTCTCCAGGGGTTAGCGTGATTCAGAGATTTAAGGTGATTAGGGGGCTTGACCTTTGTCAGGCCCGGGCTGGCCCCTTGACGCTCAACAGACTTCTCCCCCTCCCCTCCCGGAGGCGCTGCTGCTGGCCAGGTTAGGGCTTTCAGCTGCCTTGGGTGGGGTCCCCTCTCATCAGAGGCCCTTGTCTCCTTCCCTTGATTCCTTTAAACTTCATACTTGTAAAAAAAATTTGGCTTCCTCCCACCTTAAAAAGAAAACCGGGAATTTCCACAAAGTCCTTCAAGCAGTTACGAGTTTGTAATTGTTAGACTTCTTTTCGTGGTATGAAAAGACAACCTTTGAACCTGTGACACTCTGTGATGCCCCCCCCCCCCGCCCCCGTGCTGGAGACCTGGGTGAGCTGAAGTAGGGGCGCCTGGGAAGAAAAGGGGCTCACGAATGAACCCTTCTGTTGTGGTTCTGGAGACGCGCTTAACATTAAAATGATAATATTCGCTTCCACACCAGGAAAAAACACCCAAAGGTACTGTGCCAAGTCTCAAATTACTCTGACTTAAAAAATAAAATCTCTCCTCCCCCAATAAAAGGCTAAAACAATAACTAGACACTGGGAGTTAAAGGCTGGAGTCTATATAGTGCTTTAATTTTTGTTGCTTTTTTTCTGATTAGACAAAATTGACCCTCTTTTCTCTCCCTCCTTTCCCTACCCCCTCACCCACCCTTTTTTCTGAGGTTAATGGAAAAACATCATCCATTTTTAAAGAATTTCCTCTCCTCCACATGCAAAAAAGAAACTACAGAGCAAATACAGACAAGGACAAACACGGAGTTTTATCTTCTCAGAATCTAGCGCTTGCTCATGCCGAGTCGAGCCACCTTTTCCTTGAGTTATGACCTCCAAGACCTGGCCAAAGAAGGGAGATCCTGTCAGCCTCTTCCCCAAACACTTGCTCTGTAAACTCAAGCGTTTAATGAGCTGAGAAGAGGTGAGTGGTCTTTCAGTTACTAGAGAGCAGGCTCTGCCTCCAGCTGGTACCTGTTCAGAGCCTGCTGGGGAAACTTCCTTCAGCATCTCTCCGCCACCTGGTTCTTTGCCTTGGCTGCAAAGGGTGTTTTGTGACATCATATCCTAACTGCGAGGACACAGAGGAAATGCAGAGGGAGCCCCCCCCCCAGGTCAAGTGCGCCTCGGCGGACAGGCAGGTCTGGGGCCTGTCTCTGCAGTCCACACTTAGGAGAGCACCTAGCTCGTGAGCCCTCTCTTGGCTCCCTGTTCCCATTGCCAGTGACAGTTTTCCACATCCTACCCTGAAGGGAGTAACCCCTAAGCTCAGGCCGTAACCACTGTCTAGGTATTACTCGCCTGTTTCTTCTTTGGTTAGAAACTAACAGAAAACTCAAGGTTGTCTTTGTACTCTGCGCTCACCTTCCTCTGTCTTCCTTGTGGGGTTAAACAAATAATCAAAGAAACAAACATTTGATTTATGTGTTTGAGTCATGCTTAGGATTAGCTCACTCCTGTCTCCAAGTCAGCGCTCTAAGATCTTTCAAAACCAAAGCACGCACGCTCTTTCCTCTGGCCAGTCGGCTGCTGATAAAGAGAAGCTGCCACTTTGAGCAGGGCCCACATTTGAGTCCATGGGTTCACAGTCTGAGGACAAGCCCACTGAGACAGGACGAGGAGGCTCGGGCCATCTGACCTCCAGGCTGCAGAAAGGAAAAGGGATACGAGGTTTGAACAGACAGGATGAAGGCGCCTGCTCTTGGTCAGCTCATAGTTAGCTTAGGGTGAAACTGCCAGAACCTGGAGGCCAGTCCACAGAGGGGCTGAAGAGTGTGTGGCTGCTGGCATCCTCCTCTTATGAGAAAAATGGATCCCACTCCTTTCCTTATCCATTAGAACCTGGGCAACGTTCTGCTCTCTCCAAACAGGACCTGGAAACCAATCTAGAAGACCCTGCTCCTGGGCGAAGCCCACAATAAAGTGAGATAAAAAGGTCTTAGGAAAATGGGTTTCCAAGGTCCCATGCTGTGTACCCTCACACCCGTGGCTGGCTAGGAAGACATATCTCAGGGGAGAGAGGGAGAGAGACAGAGACAGAGAGACAGACAGAGACAGACAGACACACAGAGAGGATCACCTCACTGGAAGCCCTTCGCTGAGCCAAGTTCCCGGCTCTGCACTTGCATGGGGCCACAAAGTGGACCCCAAGGCACCCCTGTTCAAAGGACAGCCTCCATTCAGCTCCTGCCTGAGGTACAGAGCTCTGGCTGTGGCTCCGCGACAACCTGGGGCTCCCACTGGGCTGCCAGAAGGCCTCACCCCCATGTGATGCTGGGGCTCCCACCCCATTGTCTGTCCAGTCCCCTGGGAAAACCAGCCGCTTTGCACACTGGCTTTGGGGCAGCCCCTACATCGGGTGCCTGCCTTCTCGGGCAGAAAGACTTCCAGATATGGGGATGTTCGTGAGGCCTCTCGTCTGTTTTGGTTCCACCCGCTGGTTGTATGCCTCTGGGGCTGGCTTGCTTTTCCTGTGTGTGAGAACTGAGGCCATGGCCGAGCATGGCCTCCTCTGGCTTTGTGGGCCTGACAGAGCAAGGAGAAGCCACGTGTCCGAGAGCAGCGTCTGGGGTGGGGTAACAGCAGAGTAGCTGAGGACTCACACCCCCAGTTCCAGGGAGGGGCCGAGTCTGGCTTTCAGGGATCTTAGACCAAATAGACGCTTTCAGGGCCTGGGTCCTTTTGCCTTCATTTACCCCAGGTTCCTGGGGTTCCTTGGCCACACCTCCTAAGCTTAGACTCCCCATGGCTGAAGTTTTGCCTAGAGCAGCATTCTCCTCCTATGCCATCTTGCAGAAGAGCGGGGAATGTGGAGTGCCTGCCTACTGGTGCCGCAGCCCTAATGCGTGATTGCCCCCGTCCTTGAGGAACAGAGGGGCAGGGCCAGGGCCTCAGGCTGCTCTCCAGCCGCTCGGAGTGGGGCTGCCTCGCTCCAAGTTAGAAGTGTAGTCAACGCCAGGGAGATAGTGAGGATACATTCTTGATAGGCTGGGCTGAAAACAGGGTGGGTGGACTGCTCCCTTCGCCCAGCCCAGCGATGGCTCCCGCCTGCTACCCTCCCCAGCTCCTGGCAGCTCACTGCTGCCAGGGGCCAGGGCCGCCTGCTTTATGTCACTGAACACACGCTGCACGGCCAGGGCAGGATGAGGGGCTGCGAGGGAGTCGGAGAAATGCGGGAGTGGCTGGACCTCCCGGCCAGAGCTCTCCATCTGAGGCGGAAAACCCAGCGGCTCCTGAAAAGGCAGCGCAGGGCGCAGGCAAGGGGCTGGCTGCTCAGCCCTGCAGCCTGGCCTGCTGGCGCGCTTGCCAGGCGCGGACGGCAGACGGTGCGGAGAGCGGGCACGGTTCTAGAGCACGGAACTCACCCGTGCTCCTCCGAGTTAGTGAACTGCGCACAGCTGGCTGGGGCAGCAGTGAGCTGTCCATGGTGGCTAGCACGACGTGCCCCAGCACGGCAGGGACGTGGCCAGTACCTGCCTTGGCTGCGCGCTTGCCTCTGGACAGCTTCAGCGAGACTGCCCCTCAGAGCCGTTCCTAGGGCGCACCGGCAGACTTCCCCGCTCCAAACTGCGGAGCATTTGTGGAGCTCCTTCCTGAAGCTGGCTCCCACCCCGTCCCTCCAGGCAGGACGTCACAGTTTAGACAACCCTGGCTACCTTGGCACCCTCTCTCTCTCTTCTCTGACCCACCCTTAGCTGGAGAACGAGACCAACGTCAACCGTGATCTTGTCACGTGTGCAAAGCGCCCGCCGTGGGTTGTTGCGTTTGTGCAGTAGGATGTCTCCACCGCTCTTGGTGGAGAGGTGGAAACTGAGTCCTGAGCTGGTCAGGGAGCTCTGGGATTTCAGTGC